ACAAATATCTCTGTACCAAAAAAAAATCTCTATATTATATAGGCAATAAAATCAAGTTTGCACAAATTAAACTGAATACAATGGTAAATTCTGCAAACATACAAAGCCATGTCATCTGTAATAAATGACAGAATATTGGAATCCATATTTAGGTTTTGCTATTCTTTTTGCAATTAGTGTTGTTTTGTCAAATAAAAACATCTATAAAACTCTTCTCCCACAGCTGAACTTTTTGGCTTTGAAGAATGCACAATCAGCAAAAGGGGAGATAATGTGGAAAAAGCATGAGGACTTACAAAAAGATCACAAGTTTTACTTTGTTGCACTTCCTCTGGCTTTTATTCAGGTTGAATTCTCTGAGCCATGGACTTGAAGTTAGACTATAAGCTTTCCTAGAGATAGTTTTCCAATGGCAAAGAGGAAAAGGGAGAAAGAAACTATTTAAGAATCTTATTTTATCATCATGAAACTTAGATTTCAGATTATGTGTTGGTTGCAGCGTGCGGAAAAAGTAAAAAAAAAATAAAGGCAAGGAGAAATGACAATAAAAAATGAGGGTAGGTAGTTAAAAAGGCAGAAAGAGGAATGGTGCATAGATTGTAACATGAGAGCAACAGCAAGCAGTGATAAATGTGGGTTGCTTGGTATCTAGGCAAGCTGGGCTGCTGCTCCTGCTGTTGCTGCCTATAGAAAAGAAAACCTGTCTGAATTGATATGCTAATTTGATTGAGAAGCTGTGGGTGGATATGGAGAAGGATTTAAGCTGCAAGGTGGGACAGAGAGCAAGAATAACAATGAAAAGAGAGACAACTAATGGGAGAGTGGGAGTAAAAGACGTTGTGAAGAGAAAAAGGAGATTGAAATTAAACAAATGGGAGGAAGTGGGATAAGAGGAGTTTAAGATGGTGTTGAACTTTAGGGTTAGAATAGAAACTTTACTGTCAGACATTGAGCTGTCAGTAGCATTAGACATAGGAGAGCAGTCGGACTGCACCACTACTCTTCAGAACAATCATTTGTTTTTCAATTATTGAAAACATTGAAATCTCATTTGGGGGCTACGGCACAGCACAGCAGTCAGTGCCGTGGTCTCATAATCCTGAGGCTGCAGGTTTCTTCCCAGGTTGCATCAGGAAAGACATCTGACGTGAAACAATTGCCAAATTTTTCACTTGCTGTGGTGACCCCTTTAGAAGGAAGCAGCCAAAAGACAATCAACACCTTTGATAAACTCATTTAGACAAGCATCATAGGACTTGAGCCTATATTTACTCCAAAGCTGTCTTCAAATTTGTTACTCATTGTTCCAAACCTCACATTGGAAAATGTGACAAAAGGGTATGATTATAAAGTCCTTACCCTGATCATTTAGTCCTTACCCTGAGCATTTATAGGAAACATAGTTTCCATGTTTGCAGACGATACAGCAGTGGTTGGATGCATCACAAACAACAAGTCCAGCTAGAGGAAGGAGGTGGAACACCTGGAGATCTGGTGCAAAGCGAATAACCTTCACATCAATGTGAAGAAGATGAAGGAGATGGTTGTGGACTTCAGAAGGAACAAACACACCTACGTCACCCTGAACATAGGAGGATTTGTGGTGAAAGTGGTCTCCAGCTACAAGTACTTGGGTGTGCACCTGAATAACAACCTCAGCTGGGGCCACAACACCACCAGCCTGATCAAGAAAGCTCATCGGAGACTCTACTTCCTCAGGCGGCTGAGACGAGCTGGTCTGGGAAGCTCAGTCCTCACCTCCTTCTACAGGTGTGCAGTGGAGAGCATCCTGTGCTCCAGCATCAACGTGTGGTATGGAGGCTGCACAGCTGCAGAAAGAAAAGATTTGCAAAGAGTGGTGAAGGCTGCACAGAAGTCTGTTGGAGTCAGCCTCCCCACCATCACAGACATCTACACCTCCAGATGCAGGAAGGGGCCCACCTGTATCATGAAGGACCCCACTCACCCAGCACACACACTTTTTGCCCCGCTCCCCTCAGGCAGGAGGTTGAGAAGCATTAAGTGCAGAACCCGTAGACTGAGGACGGGGGTGGGGGGAGGGGGGGGATTTGGGGGGAGGCATCCGTGAGTCCCCTCACAGAAAATTTTGAATAACAGAGATGCCATTTCCTGCATTTTGGTGTATTTTAACGGGTTGTTATACATCAACATTTACCTACATTTGTAAACAATAAAATTACTATTTTGGAGAGGAACAGGAGTTTGTGTGTGCAGCAGCTCCGATTCTGTCACGTGTCCTAACCCCACTTTCCCCTCCCCTCACTTCACAGTTCTGAGCTGAACTCTTCTCCGCTCCTGCTCCAGTCTCATGGCACTGTTTGAAGCACCTGAAGGCTTCTCTGTTGTCCAACTAAAGACAATCCATCCATCCATCCATCCATCCATTTTTTTATTAAAGTAAATTGGACTGTCTTTTTGACATTTTGATCGCTGTTGTTATTTTGACAAATTAGCGCCGTTGTTTTGAAACGTGACATAATGCGAATAACGCATCAAACATTTCTCTCTTTGTATTTTTAATTTATTTTTTTACAGTAAGCTTTTTTTTAATTAATTATGTCTGAAATGTGTCAGCAGTACAGACACCTGCTGATATTGTGTGCGCGCTAGAGCTGTCTGGAGATGTTTCTGTGTGTAATGTGCACTGTCCATAGGGCATGCATTTATTCTGTTGAATAAATGATTGTTTCTGTTTCAGGGGTTTGAGAGGAGGGGAGAGGGGGTATTTTTCAGTGTGCAGTCCCACTGACTAGGGACAATATTTGGAGAGGAGGAGGAGAGAAGGACTCTACACAGAATCTCTGTGCGTAAGACCATCTGTCCCTCCGTCCTCACACCCCGTCTAGAGGCTCCTCTCCTGCTCCTCGAAGGAGCGTGTAGCTGGTTTGCCGCATGTGCTGCTGCTGGAACATCCACTGCACAGACTGGGCCCACCGAACTAAGGGCAACGTCTCCTCTCGTTGTATTTTTTAATAAATAATCAAAATAAAAATGCGCAATGACTTTGAACTTTTAGGGGCGGAGCTGCCGGATCCGAACAAAGAGTTTGCCGGAACAGAACGGGTCAAAATGAGAGAGTTCCCGGCTCTTGTTCCGGCAGGATCCGGCTCAGATTAACCACTGGTTTTACATTATTAGTGACTAGCATATATCTTAGATCTTTTAGCGTACCATTTGGCATTCGTTTAACGCAGGGGTGTCAAACTCACTTACAAACGGGGGCCAAAATTAAAACCTTTTTCAAAACAAGGCCAGTCTCAGAATCTACATTAACTCAAGTTAAGTACCCAACTCCTTTCTTGATCACAGGTTCCTCAACAAGAGCTCGATTGGTCTCATTTGATGTTGTCTGTTGCACTTTTGGCATCTAAATAAAAGATTACTGAAAAAATTTAAGTGATTAAAGTATTTTTCATTTAACATATCATCTTGGGGGCCAGATGAGATGTCAACAAGGGCCACATTTGGCCCTCAGGCCTTGAGTTTGACACATGTGTTTTAGCGTATATCTTAGTTTATATCTTAGATCCGTATTTACTGTTTCTTTTTACACTTTACATTTTTGCCATTGTTGGATGTAACTGGGACCCTGTGTACACAATTTTGTTCCACCTCATGTACCACATGTGGTGAAATGACAGTGAAACCTACATGAACTTGAACTTTCACAAATAGAACAGACCACAGCTGTGCATCATTCACCATATAAAACCCTTTAATGGTGGTCTACTTTAGTTTTTCACATGTGAGAAACATTTTCATTGTAAACCAGCAACAGAACTGTTTGTTACTAATGTAAAACAAAAATACAGTTTATATAGCAAGCTTTGCAAACCCAAATATCAATGATCATACATTGATTAAATTAAGTTATTTACAAAATGTATGGACTGAATTCAACTACATCTTAAGAAAGAATAAAAAACAAATAAAAAAAAACTTTATGCAAACTTTAACTCTGCGTACATTTTGGAATTTAAATTGTTTTCACTTGTTAAACTTTGTTAAATTCGTGACGAATGTAGGCTTGTAGGAATTTTCATTATATTTTTTGAAGAATAACTATGTAATCACCAAGTAGTCAAAGTCTTTCAAAGATACACTTCTCTCGTCTGTACAGGGACAGCATTTACTGAAGAACATGACTCAGTTCTCTGTAATAGTGCACCATGAGTGGCACAAATGGTACAAGACCTCTGATGGTCAGTCTGGAAAAGAACACAATGACCTGACTGTTGGCTGAAAAGAAAATTGGTACAAACTGTAACCACTTTCTTTGAAATACTTAAGTAGAAAAATAGGATGTACTTTATTACTTTATTGGTAGTGACATCAGATGTAGTTTAAAATTTTAGTTTTAAAAATATTTTAATGCAATAAATCATAAATTGACTAACTATGCATTGGCAGTTTTTAAATATATTAGCTAAAATCACGAGTGCTGTTATTTTGTTCTGGCAGCCTTTAGTTTTCAGAGGGTTTTGCACAGTGGTGGAAAGTTGTTTGGTGGAATTTGTCCTCATTCAGCCACAGGACCAGTGCAGTAAGTGCAGTCGCAGTTGACTAGCAGAGTCTAAATGTGCTTGTTGGTATTGAGATCAGAGATCCAGTTGAGCAGACTAGGTTGGTATGAACATAACATTTAGTGCAAAAAAAAATTAAAATTACCATGGCAAAACGACCGAACAAGTTCTACAAATTTCAACCATACGTACCGGTACTGTAAAAAAAAAAACTATTGTAAGAACATCCTGATGCATGCTCAATAATCCAGGTAGAAAAATCTAAAAAAGTTAAATTTGGTCCTCTGGACATTCAAAAAAACAAAACAAAACACATTGTAGAAACGTTTCGTCTTTCATCCGAAAGACTTCCTCAGTCTGAGGTGCTGTGTTCAGCTCAGCTATTGTAAGAACACTTTGTGTGAACTACTTCAGATCTTTGTGTGTAACATACGTCTTATTCTCATTCTTTCTCAGAAAGAGGCCGGAGCAGAGGGTACGGAAAGGACAGTTGTCATCCAGGAAAGGAGGCTCCACGTTGGCGTGCACAATGGCTGGTGTTTCCTTGATAAACCCCAAGTGGTGGTGCTGGAGCCTGTTGCTTCAGGAGTTAGAGGGCGAACAGACAGTTCCTCTAAAAAGAGCACACTGGTCAAGGACAGGTGAGCACAAAGAACACGTATGTTTATAGTAGAGCTGCAGGGGATGGTAGAGCAAAATTTCAATGTCAGAAAAAAAACCTCACAGATATGCATTTTTTCTGTAGAGATTATTTTTGTCATATTTCATCAGGCTCTTCAGACACTGTTTCATTTATAGCATATGATTGAAAGTTTATCTAATAAAGTCAGCAAAAACTGTATTTTCAAAAAATCGTAGTGTGCAATAATGTATTTTATCTATAATAGTGGAAGATGTCTTGACAGAGTTTTTTTTTTTTACCTCATTCTTTTACACTTGTCTTTATTTGTTTTGTACTGATATACAGTACATTTCTTGTTTTACATGTTTGTCTTATTACTACAGTGTACTGAGTTTATAGTTCAAATGCCGTATCTGTTTGTTTTCTATTAGTGCTATTAATCCTGCAATGTAACCATTGTGGTAAAAAAAATACCTTCAGCAATGAGGATGTTCATTTCTGCAAATGACTTTCCAAAATGGTGCTGCTGTACAAACACAGGTGCAAACAGCTCATCTATTAAAAAAACAAGAGCAATCTAGCAGGAGCAGTTCAAATTAGCATCAAGTAGAGAACAAATAGATCTGATTTATATTACCAACCACACAACATCTGTTAGTTGTAGCAACAAAATGGTTCCTACAATAAGAACCTGCTTAATAGGTCAAAGCAGTCTTTTTTACATGCCACTACTGTTCATTTGATACATACACTTTTATTTTAATATGTTTTTATGGAACAATAATCTTCAGTTCAAGAATTCCACATTCAACTGTGTTACTGTTTGGGAATGTTTCAATATCTGAGAGCATACATGAGTGAGTAAAATGTTTTTAAAGCCAAAGTATATTTATTAGAATAAAAAAAACGGACATGCCCAATGGGTCACTCAGTAGCTGAATGTTTATGGCTGGGATATTACAAACATTTATGATTCAATAAACTAGTAGCAAATAGGAATGCTATGTATAGTGCAGCATTGAGATTTTTTGGTAATATTACGGTTCTTATGCACTCAGCTATTACCTCATTGAAGATACTGACAATTACGTCCCAGTTTGCAGACATTGTTGTGCATCAAATTAACCAACTAAATAAACATCAATAAATGTTCAAACAAAACTTGAAAATTAAGAGTTTTAGTGTGACAACTATTGTGTGACTCATTTAGTAGTTAGAAGTCTTGGATTGTTTAACTTTCATCCAGTCATTTAATTTAGATATCAGGGTTAATGATCGGTGTATTATGTATTTTTGTCCTGGAATTATACATAAATAACATAAATAAGGGATCCCTTTTTCTTCCCTTTATTGTTGCTCAGTACATGCACCTCCTCCACTCAGCAATTACTGCAACCATTTTAATTGCGCTCTAAAAGATACCCTTTTTCCCAGTAAATACTGATGCAGCAATCAGTGAATTTTATAGTGCAAAGTTTAGCAAGTCTGTCAGTGTAATCCCTTAAATTAATTACCAGCCTGAATGTTGCTCTATAAAAAGGAAACTCATATTTACTCTCACATCAGAGTCAGGTGCAAAATTCTCTATATGCCTTTAATGTGCTAGCTTAGTTATTAGCAAGTCGTCTTGTTAAGAAGTACTAACATTAAATTTTCAATGGCAAAACAGGGTTGCCCCAAATGCATTGCAATAGGAATACACTGAGACAAACTTTAAAATGTTTGCCAGGCTTTTGAAGTTGTCAAGCAAATGTGTTTAAAGAACAAATCCCCTTCTCATTTTAAGGCTTTTTCATTTTCTTACCAGTGTTCGCTTTATAATTTACACAGTGCGCCATACTGCACAGAATCCCACCCTCCACTGATGTTTCATTTCATGCAGGGAGACATAAACTGCATCTGCTGTTTCCCATTGGATTTACTGAGAGAAACAATAAATAATCTTGTAGATAAATATGCTTATTAGGAAGAAAGAACAATCTTACCTCTATCCCACTATAAACATACAATCCTAATAAAAACAACAACAACAAAAAAATCATAGATGATAAATATATATATAGTTTTTTTGTTTAAAATGTCAATATTTTTAGCTTCTCGGATCTTTTAACAACTATATAACATCTTTGACAAAATAACAAAACAAAAAAACACCAAGTTCTTTCAGAAATGTTGTGGGTTACGCCACAACATCTTTCTTTCTTCTGTAGCCACTGTTGTGGTCAAGCAAAACTGACCAGATCACAGAACCAGCAGCCATCAGCTTCAATTAACGAGTTGTGTGGGTGTATCAGCGAGCCATTAAGCAGAACTGCCTTGGTTGAAAAATATTCTATTTTTCATGAATATTAAGAAGGTGTACCATTCCTGCCCCTTTGTTTTCCTGTTGTTGATATCTACACGTCCCCCCTCCCCTTATACATTTCTTTTCAACAAGTTGCTATACAAGGTAATGCCACTAGGAATAATTGTGATACAAGCTCTATTTTAAGGCAGAGTTTGAGAATTGGGGCTGTGTTGGCTGCTGTTACAAATATGTAATGTTGAGTGGTGGAAGGTGTAAAGGGTATATTTTCAATTTTTATATTGTAATGTCCTAATTTTGATACTTTTCTATGCTCTGAGTTTGTCCTTTCTTAATGAAATCCACTGTGACGGGCATTAAGAAATGCTCTGGTGCTGACAGTGCTGTCTCCAAAGTACCTAATTGGTTGAAAACATAATACTGTGCGCCCACATGCTGTCACCGGACAACATTACCTGAAGCCACTTCACGAACTGAATGTGTTTTCTGACATTTTTCCACACATTTCTGTCATTGCGAGCGCTCTTATTTAAGCTGCGCCCGTCAGGGTAATTGGGTGGGATATTTCATGCTGCTTTTTGAAAGAGCAATGCACAAAACAGTTGAGGTATGAATCAAAAAAGACTATCAAAGGTAAATAAATAAATAAATCCCCAAAATACACTGAACCTCTAGAAAAAGACACACGACCTCTAAAAAAAAATGGGCACCCAAATCAGAATGTATTATGTTTGCTGCTTCATATCAAGCCTCAGGGAAGTGATGATTATGTATACGATTATATGGGTGTCTTACTACCATATAAAGGTATGCACAAACATTTAAATACACAACAAACACATGGCCGGCAATCTGTGCCTGATTACTGTGGTATATAACAATAATCATCATCATCACAACAAATGTTTTCCTTTTTTCTTCCTTCTTTCTTGTAAAGAAGACAAAAATGTTTGTTGTAAATACAGTTTGTATGATAACACCAGGGAAGGCAGTAATTATGGTGTTTGACTTTCACTGGTGCAGCCAGTCACAGCTGACAGTCTGCATTGCCGGTTGGTTCTCGACAGCAGAGAAAGGGACGGAAAAAGTGGCTCCAGAGAGTGCGTGAAGTGTAGAAATAAAAGGCACCCAGCCCCACCTCGTGACACGCTAGCGCTCCACAATATGCTCCCGCCTATGGTGTATGCAAACTGTGAATGACGAATACCAAGAGTGCTGTTCCAGTCCTCACACAGGAGGAAAGTGCTTGCCAGGGAACATTTAGTAAGCACTTGTAAATCTCCCAGTGCATTGATTTTGTTTCTTTTTTTTTTATTACACAATACAGATATATGATAAGCAATATTAGAACCTTTTACATTTAAGAAAAGAAATGTAATTTGTTAAGTAATGGCTTCATATTTTCCACACCTACATTACACATCCACATTTCTCTGCTTTCTCTAGCTCAGCAACGTCATCCCCCTCTCAGATGCTGGGCCTGCGTAGCAGCCTGGAACTCAGTCTGGCCAATGATCAGAGTTTGGTAATTGTCTTCCAACTGGAGTACGTCTTCTCTGCTTTGATAAGCCGAGATACTACGGTAAGAGGCAAATTTATCTTCTGCAGTTAGTCAATTTTAAAACCAAATCCTGGCCCACAGTCAAACTCTTGAAAAACTAAGGAGCAGCCAGAAAGCCTTCCTTCTATTAACTTCTTCTCTTCTTTGCGTAAAAAATCTGTCAAGCATATGGGCACAGAATCCAGTCATACTGTCTATATTTTGTGTTTGTAAATCAGACTGCGTAGTTATGAATTAAGTTTTGTACCCTTATAAAATAAAATGTCTGAGCATTTCTACTTTGAGCATGTGTAGATAGGTATTTGTAAAAATAATTATGCAAGTTACAACATTTCGTTTTAAGGTCTGTTTACAGAAACAAAGCAAAAAAACTACGTGTAAAACTCTGCGCTCCAATTCCCTAACTTACGTGTGAGATTCAACTTGCAAGTATAAGTTCAAGTTCAAGAATCTTTATTATCCCTAAGGTGTGACTTGTTTCACAGTCAGTAGGCACCCAAAACAGTCATACTATCTAAGACATTTTACGACATTAAAATAACAATATCGTAGTCCCGCGCTACTTGGCGGTTCGTTTTTCGTGGACTCGCTCTATCACGGTTTTTCAAAATAAGATTGGACATGACACACAGTTGGCTGATTGATGGACGAGCCACACGATCGGCAGGTAATTTTTAATTACAATAAATGATCTTGAATTATTTAGCACCTGCTGCACCTGTGTGCAGCGCCCACAGCTTCCAGTAGAAGCTTCCTCCTGCAGTGTGTCATATCTCCGCTCTGCAGCGGAGAAGTGGGCGTGGTCGAGAGTGCTGGCAGTCAGAGGCAGAGAGCTGAGATCATGACATTCTGTGCTTTTTTTTTTAGAGCGTTTAGAGCTTAAAATCATTGTTTAGAATATTGCAAGAGTGTGGAACGGGTTTAAAACCTACTACTTACTACTTGTACTACTGGATTACAACTTTTTCTACCTGGATTATTGAGCATGCATCAGGATACTTGTACTACTATTCCTACTTTGTGTTTTTTCACTTATCGCGGGGCTTTAGGGTACGAATACCCTGTGATAAACGAGGGACTACTGTACAGAAATCATCATTGCTCGTTGACAAATTATGATGCTATGCCCTCCTCTTGCACAGTGATAGCTGGATATGGGCACCACTGACACCCCTGACCCGAAAAGGAAGAAGTGTGTAAAAGATAATGGCTGCATGTTCGGTAGCGTTTATGCCGTCTCCCATCTTCAAAATGTACTACCCTTTCAGGCCCTGCAGCTCAGTAAAGTGCCACCCTGACAGCAAAACCCATCTGTTCTGTGAATGGATTGTTAAATTTGTGATTGACATGACATTGACCAGTCAGCTGAGAGGAAGAAACAATCAAATAATGATTTGCCATAATTTGTACTTGCAAGGTGAAACTCACGCAAGTTAGGGAACACGAGCGCAGTTTTACACGTAGTTTTTTGATCGCATCTGTAAACAGACCTTAACAAAACAAAACAAAAAAAGAATTTGTAACGTTTGTAATTATTTTCTACATATACAAATCTTTTTACTCGTACACATTCCTGTCTACTCATGCTCCAAGCAGCAATTCTCAGTCATTTTATTTTACAAGATTACAAAATGTAATTCACAACTACACAGTCAGATTTACCAGCAAAAATATATATGACTGGAATTTGTGCCCATACAAGTACTCAAACAAGTCTTCCTAAAGCTGTAAATATTGTAAAATACCTGCATAACTTCTATTCTTTCTTTTGTCTTCATGAGTTCGTCCAACTCCTCTATCATGTTTTATTATTTATTTATTTATTTTCAAGTATCACATTATTGCAGTATTTTACGCTTTGTTTAATTCATGGCTTACCTGTCATTTTCTTCCTTTTTTTTAATACTGCACTGTACATATGTTAATACTGCACTGTGCATATATGTTGTTTTTCATTGCTAATCATTTATTAGTGCTACTATTTGTAATAAGGGACGTCATAATATTAAAAACGTATACTACAAACCAATACACCATAAAATACAGTTACCAATACTACAAGAAGAATAATGACAAAATGATACAGGATACTGACGTTTTCTTCTAGTCTTACTTGTATAGATATTTTTAGGAGTAAGAAATGTAACTTTAATCAACTTTATGTATTTATTTATGTATTTATTTTTTGTCATCATGTCTTCACTGTTGACATGACTTTGCTACAAACAGACAGTTTAGAAAATGGACACACCTGTCATCCATCTCAGGAGGTTTTTAAGTTTAAAATATATGTGTAAATGTTTATTTTGTTCATACAAACTGAACAGGTTTATAAGAAGCATTTTGCAAAATGCCACAGGCAAATTGTCCCTAGAGAATAAATATTTTTCATTCATACTTTACCAATGAACAGCCCCTCATGACATCAAAAACTAAACAAAAACATAAAACGACGGTGGTAACTATGTGTGGGTGAGCCCTTTATGCATGCCGAGGTTGGGCTTTTTCTGTAATACTGCACACCATCTCAAATACAGACAGGTGTCAACAAAACACTGATTAAAAGCAGCAGAAAAACAACCAGTCAGAATGATGTGGAACATCTGCATTAATATATGAATTTCAATCCATTGCAACCACTTCACATACAACCTAATGGACAGTTTTCTGGTTTTTAGTTGTTGTTGGTTTTTTTTTTGTTTTGTTTATTTGATTTTCAGTGGATAGAAGAATATTCATTGAAATCACAGACATCATTTTTTAAATTCAAGTAAATGTGATTATTGGTATTTCCATAGCCAAACCTTATTTTAATTTATAAAAAAAAAAACAACAACCTAGAAATAGTTGAATAAACTCAGGAATCACCAAACTCCAATCAAGCAATAAAAAGCTGCTTGAGGACCCCTAAAGAGTGACCCAGCCCATCTTCAATGATAGTGTTTGTTAAGTTTAGTATGAGAATGACCCATTTGTGGGAAGGCTGACATTATATTCTGAATGTAAGCTTAAAATAATAACTGTCATGTTGAAAAGCGAGATTGACAGACAGACTGGTGCAGCATCTGCAGTATTGTGGACTCTGTGCTGGTCCATTGTGGTGAAGAGAGAGCTGAGCTGTAAGGCAACGCTCTCTGTTTACCGGTCAGTCACTCCTACCCTCACATATGGTCACCAACTCTGGGCAGTGACCGAAAGAATGAGATCGCTGGTACAGGTGGTTGAAATGAGTTTCCTCTCAAAAGTAGTTGGACTCTTCTTTAGCAGTAGGGTTAGAAGTTGGGTTATCCAGGAGAGACTTGGAGTAGAACCACTACTCCTCCACATCGAGCCAGTTGAGGTGGTTCGGGCATCTGGTAAGGATGCTTTCTGGGCACCTCCCTAGGGAGGTGCTTGGGGCATGTTCAACTGGGAGGAGACCTCTGGGATGACCCAGGACATGCTGGAGAGACTACGTCTCTCAGTTGGCCTGGGAACTCCTTGGAGTCCTCCCAAAAGAGATGTCTGTGGAAAGAGATGTCTGGGCCTCCCTGCTCAAGCTGCTGCCCTCGAGACCCAACTTCAGAACAATGGAAGATAATGAACACTGATAGATAGATGGATGGATGGATGTTTACAGACTTGCTCTCAGTGTGTTTGCTCAAGCTAAAATAAAATTTAGATTTTGGGATTCTCATGAGGAAACCTGTGTTGCTCCTAAATGTCGGTTTTGTTGACAAGGCGTGTCACATAAAACTATCATGCTTTCAAAAATATAAATTTCTTGTATTAAGAAAAAGTTCATTCATGTTGAAACATTATTATTATATAACATTTTAGTATTCTATTGTTAAATTATAATAAAATATTATTACATAATTTATGTCCAAGACAAATTTCCACTTGGGGACAATAAAGTATCCATCCATCCATCCATCCATCCATCCATCCACCCACCCACCCACCCACCCACCCACCCAC